GGCTTTTTGAGCTAATGAGGTGCTCAAAGTGCCTTATGAGCTTATCATTGCAAACAACAATAAAATGTTCTGCATGGACTCGACCATTAGCTGTAAATAAATTATGACTACAAACTGAGAGGTTGAATCCTCAGTAGAGGTTGAACCAAGCTCTTTATCTGGAGAAGAAGCATATGGCACTTGCTCAGATTTGGCACGCTCCACTCCTCCCATCAAAAAAAAATGAACCCACAAAATCATAAAACAAATTTCTATAAAAGAAAAATGACCATTTGCAGCACTTTATACTGCCCTACAGCATATATCTCCAGACATATCAAGCAAACAACCTATCAGCTACAAGGAAATGAAACCTTGTTTTTTACACACACACACACACACACACACACACCCTTTCTCATCCCAGACACAGTGATCCATCAGAGACTTTAGTACATGAAAAATTGATTCACATAGTCTCCCCTAAGGAAATTTTACAAGGATGCAAGGCCATGACATCCATCATGCATTCTCTATTCGTTATATCTCCAAGATGCCCTAAAAGAAATGGAAAATACCTCAGGAGCATTTGCAGAAGGCAGTCCTATTAGATTAAAATGGGCTATAACAATAAAAATGTCAAAGGTGTAGAAATGCGAAGATTTGGGGGAGATGGGTGGGGGGAAAATGATTTTGCCCCAAGTCAAACATAAAAATTGGAAATTCTGAGGGGAACCACTGCACCTGGCCCAGCCAGGTGCAAGTGGAGGAGAGGGGCTGCAACGCTACCGTGACACTGCTCCTTCTCTCTGCTCTCCAGGTCATAGATGGGCTGCATGCAGCCCTGTGGAGAAGGGGCCTTTGTGGGGGGACTGGTTTCACCCCATCCCAAAAATGTGCCCCCACTACACCACTGTGCCTGAATATCATACGAGGGCCCTCTTACATGGAAGCTCTTTCCCTGTCTATAGATTTGCAAAGAGTAATTGATGTTTTTAATGATCACTCTGCACATGTATAACGGCATGTTTTCCTAAACAGGCGCTCTACAAGTCCTATTCTGATGAAAACAGCAAGATTAAAGTTGCAACCCCACCAATATCCACTGCAGGTGGAGGAAATGCAGTCAGTCATTCAGAGTGTCTGTGCATATGCAGAAAGGTTTGCATTACAGCACAGACCTAAGCTGACTTTGGGGATACCAGCCTCCCTTACTTCATTACTGCATACAGCCATGCGAAGCTTTATCTTGGCAAATCTTTAATGAAAACTCTCTTACCTAAAGACTTCATTCCAATATTCTTTTACATAGAAAACCTGGTGAAATGGAATGTCTAGTATCTGACAAACTCTGTAAGCATCTTCACAGTCTTTGTCAGCAGAACAGATTCCTTGTTCATCCACAATGTCCCAGTTCTTCATAAACACTCCAGTCACTTGGTACCCTAGAGAGGACAAGAAAGAAGAAAATATTTTGCATGAAGAATCACTCAAGACTAACCTTGCAAATTAAGCAAGCTGTTGAAAACAGCTGTGTCTTTCTCAGCAAGCCTTTTTCCTTTTTTTGCAAAGCCTCACACTGTAACAGAAGACTGCTTCAAAACAAAAAGCAAACAAACCAAGGTATACTCAGATTAGGAATAGATGTTATTTTGGCTTCATAGTAGAGCTTCATAGTTTGGATTTGGACAGTGAAGCATTTCAGAGCTTGGAATTGCTAAGGAAGGTGGAACTGGACGGATGAAGGTCACAGGCAGTTCCGAAGTGTGGTGTAGTGGTTAAGAGCAGTGGACTCGTAATCTGGGGAACCGGGTTCGCGTCTCCGCTCCTCCACATGCAGCTGCTGGGTGACCTTGGGCTAGTCACACTTCTCTGAAGTCTCTCAGCCCCACTCACCTCACAGAGTGTTTGTTGTGGGGGAAGAAGGGAAAAGGAGATTGTTAGCCACTTTGAGACTCCTTAAAGGGTAGTGAAAGGCGGGATATCAAGTCCAAACTCTTCTTCTTCCAAGTTGCTGTGCTCCAGGTATCTTAGACTACAACTCCTACTAACCCTAACCAATAGTTAAGGAAGGTGGGAATTGTAGTCAAAAGGCTTTATGAGCAAGGGGTTTTTCAGCTGGAACTTTTTAGGTGGGTGCCATTGCCATTCTAAGAGAACAAGGGAGGCGTTCATGGGGAATTCCAGCCCCTCTTTTCCCATAAAAATAGCACTGCGTATTAGTATAATGTCCGTGGAAAGATGAGGGTGACACAAGGCTTTTACAGTAGATACAAGAGCCCCTTTCACGCAAGGAGGAGACATACTACTAATGCATTTATTGATCTTGCACAGAGCCACACAGGCAGACTTGAGAAGGTTTTCTCATTTGTTCTCCCTGGAAGAAACTTTGTGGTGTTCTAAGGTCTCATTACAGAATATCCATAAACGCTCACATATCTAAATATATAAACCATGTGTCTGAAATAGTACAGGAGAGCCATTTTTACTCTCCCAATGACTTCAAATATTCTTCTGCAGTAAGGGAAGCAAATGGGGAAAGCCTTCCCATTGTCTTTTCGCTTACAAAATCCTCTCTTAAGGGCGTCTTTGCGTATGAATAGGGCGAACCTGTATAAATAAATAAATAAAACAAGATAAATCCCACCCAGGCTCCCTGAGGAGAATAATGGAGGGGGAGGGAGGGAGAGACTCGCGTGTGTGTTGACCCGACACGTGTGAAGGCTGCGGGAAGAAGGCCTCCCGCCACACTCAAGACACGGGAGTCAACCCTCGGGGCTTACTCGCGAGCAAAACAACTACAAGCCCCCCTCCCCGGCTGAGAAGCGGATAGGCGGCGGCGGCCGTGAGGCGGCGTCAGGGGAAGGAGGATGGCTCCGTTCCCGCGGCCCGTGAGGAAAAAAGCGGAGTTCGCGTGAGGGAAAGGCCGAGGTGCTGGGCCCCGTCTGAAACCCGCCGCCCAGGTGGCTGCTGCCTCACCTCTCCGCCGCAGCAGCAGGGCCGCCACGGCGCTGTCCACGCCGCCCGACAAAGCGCAGGCCACATGCCGCCGAGCGGCGCCCAACATCTTTCCCCTCACGGACCCGGCTCGGCTCTCTTCCGCGGGGCGGAGCCCAGCTCGCCGAGGGCGGGGAAGCGGCGCTTCCGCTAGGCCGCGCGAGACCAACCACCGCAGGCCGCGGCGGGCGGTTGTGTTGTCGGTGTTTTGTTTTTATTTTTCCCCCACCACCAGAGAGGTCTTTCTGACGACGAGTCGCAGAACTGGCCGAGTTGGAAAGGGCCCGCGAGAGTCGGCCTAGCGGCGGGGTTGGGAACCTGTCGCCCAACGCGGGACTCGAACCCGCGACCCCCTGAGTGTCTCATGAGCGCGAGTCAGGCTCACGGAGCCCGGTGGGGATTGGCGCCTCGGAGCAAGCGCGCGCACGTTGCTCTGTGACGTCATCACGCCGCTTTAAATAGCCGTAGGGTGGCCACCTGTCCTGTATAATATACAGGGATTGTCCCTTATTTCAGCTTAAAATGCCACCTCCTGTGTTGATAGTTTGTTCTGTATCTCAGGCAGTGCCGGATTTAAGTATAAGCTAAACAAGCTATAGCTTAGGGCCCCACTCTTCCCCCCCAAAATTCACTATTAATATACTTCTTAATTGTATTTCAGTTCAACAATTACTTTGATAAAATACATATTTTGCTATGTGCAAATGGCTTTTAGATACCTATGAGGTCCATAAATTACCATATAGCATATATTCAACACAAAAAACAGCGACAATTTGTTGTTGGACGAAGGACAGCTGCACATATAAAGGGGCCCCATTACCTTCAGTAGCTGAGGGCCTCGTCAAACTGAAATCCGGCCCTGATTTCAGGTCTTCTCTCTTTCTTTCAAGTTAGGAAATCCTCTCCAAATGCATGTGCTTGAAAGGATGTGTATTTAAAGGGTCACCCTTCAAATACATGGGTAGGATACCTGAGTTGGTTAGAGCATGAGATGCTTCATCTCGGTGTCATGGGTTTGAGTCCCACGTTAACCAGAAACATTCATTCATGATTTTCAGTTTTATACATTTCAATAATTGCACACTCGTTTTACCATTTCAAAGCTTGACTTCCTTCCTTCTCCCTTTCTGCAGTTCCCTAATTTATTTATTTATTGTATTTTCTGCATATTCCAACTTAATTTGCTCATTTGTCTACTTTAAATATATACTCTTATAAAACTGCAGGTTATTACAGTAATCCTGCCAATGTTATCATCTGTTTACTGTTTATTTGTAAATATGCAATAAACTGTTTCTTTTATAAAAAGTTTTGTCGTCTTGATGCCAAAGTAAGTGACTTACAAAGCAGGTCTTGGAAAACAGTCTTTCTCCAATGGGGGGGGCGCTAATGGGAACTGGGGTCCAACAGCAGTTGCTCCGCTATTGAAGTGAGCAGAGAACCCCCACTTTCTCATCCCAGCAGATGCTTCTTGAGGCAAGTGCTCACTGCACATGCTTGGGCATATTTGCAGGGCTGTTCTGATCTCCAGAACAGATTCCAGGGTTGAACTCTGCCTTTAAGTGAGACGGTTTGCTTTTCTGCTCGCTGCAAACTTTTGAAACGGAAAAGGCTGACATGGCCCAGGCCAGGAATCCCGAAACTCAGCCCTCCAGCTTTTTTGGTACTACAACTCCCATCATCCCATCATCAGTCTGAGAGGCCAGTTCTCCCACAAACATTCATTGCTTAACTACGTATCAAGCAATGATGTGTTAAACACTGAGAACTCTAAAAGTTTCATATCTCAAAACACAAGAACATAGCACCTGGACTAAAGTTTCACATAATTCCCTTAAGCATGCACTGCCAATGAGTGAACCTCAATTTCTGACAATAAAGTGCATATATTGAGCAGACTTTCACTGCATTCTGCAGGACTTCCAGCTTATCTTTGTAGCAACTTCTTCCAAATATTGTGTGGAACAATAACATCTGATTTATAATGGCTTAAGCCAGCAAGGGACAATGACTTGACACAGTGAGTTTCAATCCAGTATTTAATTCGGTTCTGCTAGTTAAATTACGTTAATAAATTCACATCTAGTCTAGAATCAGTTATTGATATGAATCTGTCAATAATATATTAAACCTAAACTATGAAACAACCATTGGAAATAATATAGTAACCTATAGCAGTGTTTCCCAACCTTTTTTGGGCAAAGGCACACTTGTTTGATGAAAAAAATCTCGAGGCACACCACCATTACAGCCCCGTGACGTCAGCGCGCAGCGTCACGCCGGGAGGGACGCACGAAAGTGTAAGTTTCAATTTTTTTCCCTCCCCCTTGCCGGGGAACCTCCAAGCTTTGGGGGTGGGGGGGGAGGGCCGGGTTGCCGCCGTGAGGGAAGGGCGCCGGGGCGCTGCTGCTGCTGCCGCCGCCGCTCCCGGCAGGCATGGGCCCAGCTGAGGCGGCGGCGGCTGTTGTGGTGGTGGCGGCGATAGCAGGCGGAGGAGGGGGCGGCGGCGGGGCCGAGGTGGCCGGCGGCGGCGGGGGAGGCGGCGGCGGGTGGAGCAGGAGGGCGGCCGAGGCCGGTGAGGGAGTAGGGTTGCCCGGGGCTTGAGGAGCCGTCGCCGGGAGTTGCTGCTGCTGTTGTTGCTGCTGCTGCCCGGACATGCCGGCCTCCTCCTCATCCGCTGTCTCGCGCTCCTCCCTTTTGCGCGCGCTGCCCCGCCGCCGCCCCATTGGCCGGGTCCTGTCAGCTGATCCTGTGTTATTTCCTGTGTGTGTGTGTGAGGGGAGAATGGAGAGAGAAACCTCGGCACCACCACCGCGGAGCCGCCCCCGGCTCGACGCAGATCCTCGCCGCCGCCGCCCCGCCTCTCGCCGCCCGACTCGCCCGCCTCCCTCCCACGGCACACCAGGCAATCTCTCGCGGCACACTAGTGTGCCGCAGAACACCGGTTGGGAAACACTGACCTATAGATCTCTGCTGGACCCTGTAACCATATGTTTTGGTTCCTGTTTGCCTAAATAAATTCTTACATTTTTTCTTAGTTGGAAAAGAAAATACTAATTGTGTTACACACACACACACACACACACACACACACAGTTTCTCCACCTAGATTCTGAAAGATACATATTAGTTTCAGTGTATATGCTACAAGCGTCTTCATCCATTTTTAAGCCACTTGGACTGTAGGGATTAAACAAACAAATAAACCAGAGCTTTGTATTTAACAGTCTGTTAGCCAAATGCAGCAAGGAATTCATGTAGACAAGTATAAGAAGGCTTGCAGGAGAGGGAACAGATTTCTCCTTCACAGATAAGGACTTTCCATAGTGGCAGTAAAGGCACAACCTGGGAGCTTTGTGCTAAGGCTGAATTAGAACTACGTATGCTTTAATATGCTTACTGAAACCAAAGTCTTTTCCATACTTTCCAAGTCACTACCACTTACTTGTTCTTTGAACTACATTTTGAGCTGCAAGGGAGGACCAGCCTAATACTTGTCCATCGTTGCATCCAGTTAAGACAAACTATCAGTGAGGAATGCCCTGCTTTTCTGTAAAAGGAATCTCCTCCATGATGTAAAAGTCACCCATTCCCCCGCCCCCTTGCTTGAATTGATCTGTTCGGGTAAATTCATTTTCATACAAATGTTTGGAACTGAGATGTCAGTTGATAGCATGATGCACAGGAACAGCAAGAGATCACTGTGCATAAAAGCTCCTAGCTTGTTCAGATTTCTGATCCAAGAGTAATATGGCTATGATGCAACTAAAATTCACATTATGAAAATTGAACAGTACAAATGCATCCTAATCATAATACAGCAAATCAGTTCTGCTTCAAATACTGTAAATCTCAATAATCACTCACCAAATTATTCACGTTACTGCAGTTTCCAGTCACAAATTACAGACCAAAATGCCTAAGTGTACAGTGTGCACATTATAAATCCTAGTAGGCGCTTTGAACTGTAAACTTGAAATGGTGGAAGCATTCAGAAAGGCTTCCACTATATTTTAATGAAAATATACATTTTAGAATACCTTTGCTTTATTTTAATTCATGACATTTGACAAATTTGTGCAAAACAAACTAGATATTTTAACACACAAGGCATCTGCGATCAGTTCCTGAAAGTACTGAGTAATCAATATTTAAGCCATCTTTATTATTATCCCTTAACAACACATCAACAACACATTTGTCAAGTGCTCAGTTTAAAAACTTCATTTCTATTTTACTAGTCTGTTACCCACTCACCCCCTGCTTAGTGAAACATCAGTTTTTGCACTTAAACTCTTCCAAGTTAAGAGATTTGCTCAAGAAATCAAAACTTCAGAAGAGGAGAATCCAGGTTCTCTTTATTTCCTTCCGGTGTAAAACTGATGAGAGGAGAGCTCAGATCTATTGGCTAGAAGGAGGGAAGGGGAGGAGAGAGAAATAAAGACAGTTAAGACATTAACTAAAACAATATTTGAACCATTACAACAGCAGACTTCTCCTTTGCTAACAAGTCTTATAATGGCATTCTTTGACACCACTAAACAGCCATAAATTCAATTATTTATATTGCAACAGCCAGTCAATACAAGGTCAGAATTCCCTTGCTAAGTTGTTCCTGAATGTCACATATATCTGTGTGGGTGCAATATGCTGTGAATGGCAGCTTATCCTTTGTATGTTTTCCAGCTTATGTCGCATGAGAAGTCATACTGATGCACTTACATTTATATTGAAACAATATCCTTGCATGCTAGCAGTATTAAAAAGGGAAATATAAAACGGGTATCTTACCTGTCCTACAGGCTTCAACAGAGGAACTGGAATTATTTCAGGAGTATTAAAAAGATCAATAAGGGGTTTATTTTCACATTCCTGGGTGGCAAGTGGTGTTTTATCTATTCCAATGTCTATCAGTAAAGTCTAGGGAAAAAATAGTAAATTTATAAGTTGTTGACTGCCTATTGTGCTTCCTGAAATAAAGTTAATTACAAAAGAACTGCCCATGAGAACAAAACTGTTTAATAAACCTGTTTGCTACCCTAAAAATCCACAGTACTTAATACGTTCTTTCTCCAAGAACTGGTTTGTGTTAGCCTCCTATTGACTCAGGAGTCTCCATATATCTGTAATTACCCATGATATTATTTGGAAGCAGTCATTAACAATTGGCATGTGGATAAATTTACTTTATGTTGTTTCAGCAGACAATCTTCTGCAAAGCAAAAAACTTAAAAGAAGACCAGAGAAATCCTGCTTTACACAAATTTCACAACAAGCAGTGGCTCATTGGGAAAGTGACCAAGAAAATTAAGGATGCTAGATATAACTAAACACCTTTCAGCTCCTTTTCAACATAGACACTGTCTGCAGCAGTGGTAATTTCTGAAAGAGATGCTTCACATTTTAAAGCTGCCTGGGACGGCTGTTCTATATACACAAAAAAGGAGACAAAGCAGCAGCCTACCTCCACAGTGGGTGTTCTTTCTGCTGGTTTCTCCTGCTCAGAAAGGTCCTGTTCTGTTTCTTCAGAAGACTTCTCTGTTGAAAAATCCAGTGCAATAGGTGCAACTGGTGGGGGAGATCCTTCTGTTGAAGATGAGCTATAGGCCCCACGGGTCTTGCGCTCTCTGGCCCATTTGAAACTGGAAAGGAAAAGACACAAAGAATTTCATCTAAGAACCCGTCTTGAAAATGGTGTAAGATGGTCAGTTTTGGTTATGTCTAGATTTACCTAGCTTCTAGAGTCTTTTTGGATGACACACTCGAGACTTGCCGAAGAGACACGAGATCGGGAGAAGACCTTGCTTTGGGCACAGTTCTGGGGGTTAGTGATGGAATTCCCGACGTACGCCGGCCAATGGGAGTAGGTAATGCAGAATGCCTTCTGTTGGATGGAGTCCATAAGGCAGACTTGGCAGCAGAACAGGTATTTAATACCAATCCGTCTTCTGATAGTTTGCGAGGTGGGGTAACAGCAACATTGCTAGAAGGATACACGAAGTGTTAGAAGCCGATAATGCATCACAACTGAAGCATTCCTCTTAGTTTAAGTGCACACTCAAAAATGTAGGGTATCCCAAATACTTTTCAGTAATGCAGTCAAGAGCAACCAGCAACCCAATTTAAGAACTGCAACAGGATACATTTTAAACCAATTCAGCTTTTTTATTAAGCTGTTTGCAGGCCATTGAAATATTTGATTTTATCCCAAACTGAGGCTTTTTCTAAAACGCAAGTCAGTGTTCGGAATAGCAGACTGTGGTTTTTTCATACCAAGAGGAGTGATATAGCAGCAGATAAAACATCTTCTGGGATATTTTAGAAGTGCTTAGGTACCACATGTAATCCAAGCTGAAATTCTCATCAGTCCATTTCAGATATTGTGGCAAACAATAGTTAATTAAACTTAACTACAGCTTGTTGTGATGTCTGATTTGACAAATTTATTAGTAGCTGCTCTACCTCCAGATGCCCCAGTACCTCAAGACTGGACAGCTGAGCAAAAAGAAAACAAATGAAAGCAAGAAATTGCAAGCTATAGTTTGCATGTATGTTTGAAGTCTAAACCATGTTTTGCCTTGCTATGAACCAAGCATTTGGGTGCACATTTAGAAAAGAGATAACAGGGTAAAACTTTGCCTTTGGCAACATTAAATTCCCAATCTCATGTTCACTGCTGATACGGAAATCAGAACCCAAATAGGTAGTTTCACAGACACTGTTGAAACACAAGACTTCAGTATTGCCAAGCAAAAATTTGAATCAGCAACGTAACCCAGCCCTCTCCTGCCTGCTACAGCAAGGGGTGGGACAGAATTCATCAAAGACTTCGAATATCAAGGACTGCCAACCCCACTGGACAGCTTTTTTTGCTTTACATGCTACTGTTTAAAGTAGTATGAAGCATCTTCAGGTCTCTCCACAAGTAATTCCACACACCCCATATACACAAAGTTTTCACACACCACATACACAAAAACCCAGTTCTAAACCACCTTGATAAGCCGGTCAGCACCTGCAAGGCAGTTCAAGATGACAGAAGCTTAGAGGAATCAAGTATAAATTAAAATATAGAACATTACCTTTCAACATTGCCACAAGACAGTGATGCAATTGGTTGTAACACTCTGACAACAAAATTCTCAGATACACCTAGGGAGAAAACAATTACAGGACTTAATCAACTTACTCAGTTCAGTTCTTACTCCCCATCCAATGCAATGTTTAGAACAGAAATAAGGGCAGGCACACTAGAAGTTAGATAAACTATAAAAAATTATCACATGGGTAAGACCAGTGTTCTTACCTTCCTTTGAGACTGCAGGTACTGCTTTGGGCTTGGGACTTGAAGTTGCTGTTCTGTTTCCCAATATGCTTTTCTGCAATGGTTTCTGAAAACTAGGATCTGAGTCCTCTTTCAAAATCCCACCGGCCATCTCAGACATATCAGTAACTCTGTATTTGGGTGCATTCACTGGAAGATTTGCTTTTGAAGCACTTGTGGACCCATGTTCCTTTCCAGATACATCAGAATGGGAAGCCTGCACAGACAACCCCTTCATAGGTTTAACAATAGCAATCTTGCTTGCAGTAGAGGACAGCCGGGAGCCACGTGCAGAAACTTTAGAAGCAACACCTATTTTACCTGGGAGAGAAAAAAAGAAATTTTATATCTATTGTTTATATATGTATGCACCACTATCAACGCACCTAATGCTTTAGTGTCGGGAAAGCAAAGGCCACAAACTTGAGCAAGCGATTCCCAGTGTTGGGAGAGAGGGGAAGAGAATGAGAGAAGAGACACCCAGCATGGATGTGGAGATGCGTTACACACATTTGGATTAATTGATAAGGACAAAGAGACATGGATTTTGAAAAGTGCAGGTGCTTGGGACAAGTATGAAGCACAGGAGCCAACAAGGGAGAAGAGATTGAACTATTTAAAGGGTGCTGTTACTGCCATCGCATAATGCAGTTATTCAATTTGGTCTATGGTGACCACATTCATAAGTGTGTGATTAACTGCAAGAGGGTGCAATGTCTCAGAATAATTGTCTTTGCAAAGGTTAATATGGAAATTGTATAATTACTAGACTTACTATTTACGTTAGTGAGCACCAATTTTATTAAATCAGTTTCTCACTTGTGCTTCAAAAGAACTCAGCAGTTATGCATTTTGGCCACTGTTGCTATCACTTAATATTTGGGGCTTGGATTCTGTATTCCTAGGAGCAAAATGTATGTTTGTGTTGTCCCCACTATGGAAGGATGTGTAGATCCAGAATTGGCCTCCACAGTCACTTACGGACTCACTGTTAAGACAGTGTTCATGGAAGACAATCTTACTCAGCTATGCGTGATCACCAAAGAAGAAGAAAGAAGCATGTGTGTGTAGGTTTCCCCGCAACTCAGCTGGCCATTTTGACAAGTGGCCACCATTTTGCAACTGTTGTTTATTCCAATTCTGGTTAGTTAGAGCCAAACAGGATCAAACCACATTGGATTTGTTACCTTTCCCTATCTTAGGAGAGATGGACTGACTTGAATTCAGGCTTATGCTGGAAAAAGAGGATGAAGAAGAAGACGTTGAAGTGTTCCTTCGCATACGGATATTACTAGGACGTTTCAGCTGCGTTGCCTTGATCCCCAACTGTAAAGAC